ATGTAATTAAAGTGTTTGGGGAACGTTTGTCGACAGCCAGGAAGTCTGGATCGGGGGGAAATCGAAAACCGGAAGCCGCTGAGACAACAAAGAGAGTTGCCGGTAGTTTCAAGCGAAACCCTAACCTCTCTCTCCGAGATGCCGCAAATAAGCTGGGTGTATCGTCTACAACCGTGCATCGAGCCAAAAAACGAGCCGGACTATCGACTTACAAGAAGGTAGTGACTCCAAATCGCGATGATAAACAAAATACGACGGCCAAAGCGCGATCCCGGAGGCTGTACACGACGCGATGCTGACGAAGTTTGACTGCGTGGTAATGGACGACGAAACCTACGTCAAAGCCGACTACAAGCAGCTTCCGGGACAGGAGTTTTATACGGCAAAAGGAAGGGGAAAGGTAGCAGATGTTTTCAAGCACATGAAACTGTCAAAGTTCGCAAAGAAATATCTGGTTTGGCAAGCCATCTGTACCTGTGGCTTGAAAAGCAGCATTTTCATAGCTTCCGGGACTGTCAACCAAGAAATTTACGTGAAAGAGTGTTTGAATAAACGTCTGCTGCCTTTCCTGAAGAAACACGGTTGTTCCGTACTGTTTTGGCCGGATTTGGCATCTTGCCATTACGGTAAAAAGGCCATGGAGTGGTACGCCGCCAACAACGTGCAGGTGGTTCCCAAGGACAAGAACCCTCCCAACACGCCAGAGCTCCGCCCAATTGAGAAATACTGGGCTATTGTCAAGCGGAACCTAAAGAAGACCAAAAAAACTGCTAAGGGCGAGCAGCAGTTCAAGGCAAACTGGCTTTCTGCGGCGAAGAAGGTGGACAAGGTGGCTGTATAAAATCTGATGGCAGGGGTCAAGCGTAAGGCCCGGCAATTCGGATTTGGAAAAGCGGAAGCCTAACTGAATATTTTTCCTGAATTTTATACTAATTGAACTTGAAAAAGAAATTTAATTTGATTTTTTAAATAAACGATTTCACCGATTTACACGCGTTTTCCCTTGACCAAATTTTGACCGTATCACCCTTTAATACCAATATCCATTTGATAACGGTGATCCAAACATGCGGGCTTATTGTGAATGAAAGTGACCTCGGAATGGGCGTGACTCTCCAGACATTCTGAAATGGGTTGCTGGATCTGCAATAGAGCAATCACCTTCGAACTGCAACACCTATATTTAAGTGGGCTACGTTTTAGCTGGGCTCCCGTTAATTGGGTTGTTGCACCCCTAAATCGAAGTCAAACGACATTTCTGTCAGTGCTGATTCTATTTCAAAGGGCTCAGTGCCAACAAATGTTGTAGGTAACTCGTTGCAAAATTCGATTTTTTTTTTTCAGCACTCGTCTTAATTATCCAACTCGACAAGCCGCCTTGGGTAAACTACGACTCGTGTTGAAAAATCTTCTTTTAGCAAATTGTTGCATAAATAGCTATTTCCTATGTTATCACCTTATGGACTTAAATTGCAAAAATCGACCGTTTTTTTTTACTTTATTTAGAGCCCTACTTTTTTTTTGATATCCCGATAGAAAAAAAAAATTGCATGTAAATTTTCTCAACAAATCTAAGGAAAAACGTATTTTCTTAGATTTTGGATACCGTAATGTACCTAATACCAGACATTTAAATTTTTATTACATATCTCATCTACGTTGCCACATAATGAATATGTGACATGATTCTGAGCAAAAAAAAACCATGATAACATTTTGCTACTATTTCGAGCATAGTTGGCAGCGATAATCAATTTTTATATGTGTCTGAATTTAGAGTCTTTACGGTATCTGTTACAAATATTAAAAAAAAACCAAAACGCTCCTGAAAAAAAGGTTTTTTAATATTTATTTATTTATGTCGTCAATCAATCGTAGACCAATTACAATGAATGCTTATTAACTATGTCTTAAATATTATTGCCTGGCTAACCTTGAAAAGAATGCTTTTTTTAGTGTTATTTTATTCATTGTTACATCAATTGATTGGGAATATGCGTTATAGCAGGTCATAATTCTATCCAAAGGCCCATTTTTAGCATAGTTTGTTCTTTGATTGTTAATGTAAAACAAATTCCTAATCCTCAGAGAGCGAGTGGGAGCATAAAAATTTATATTTTCTAAAATTTCCGGAATATTAACTCTTTGAGCAATAACATCGTTTATAAATGTTACCATGGCAAAGTCTCTTCGTTTTTTTAGTCCATCTAAACTTATTAACAAACATCGCGATTCATAAGATGGAAGTGGTAATCTCGTCCAACCTAATTTTCGAAGGGCAAACAACAAAAACTGTTTTTGAACAGACTCAATGCGGTTTATATATATATCCTGATACGGAGCCCACACTACGCTACAGTATTCAAGAAGAGGTCTCACATAGGCCACATACAATGTTTTAATAGTGTAAGGATCATTGAAGTGCAGACTAAATCTTTTGATAAACCCTAGCATGTTACTTGCTTTATATATAATGTTATTGTAGTGATCAACAAATGACAACTTAGAGTCGAGAATAATGCCTAAGTCCCTTACTTGATTACACCTTTCAACTGTTTTCTCACCAAGGGAAATTGTGTCATTTACTATGGCATGCTTTCTTGTAAACGATTTAGAATTACATTTACTAACGTTAATCTCTAACAAATTCTTCTTACACCAAGTGTAAAAAATGTCAACTTCTTGCTGAAATAGCTGCATATCAGATGCTTTAGATATTTCCATGAAAAGTTTCATGTCGTCTGCATATATTGAAACATGAAGCAGCTTCAAAATGTATTCTATATCATTGACAAATAAGATGAATAGTAGTAGACCAAGATACGAACCTTGTGGCACACCAGATGTTACATGAACGACAGACGACAATTTTCCTTCAAATCTTACTCTTTGCGTTCTCCTTGACAAGTATGACTCGATCCATTGCAGTAGCCTGGTATTAAAACCTAACTTGGACAACTTGAAAATCAACAGTGGTATATCCACTCTATCGAATGCTTTACTAAAATCAGTATATAATGTTTCTACGTAATTTCCCTTATCCATTACATTTAAAGCATATGTTACAAAATGTATCAAATTAGTGGCTGTAGATCGACCTTTAACAAATCCATGTTGTTTACTAGTAATGAGAGATTTAACTTGGGAAAATATGTTGGCATTAATGATGGACTCGAAAAGTTTAGGAATAGTAGATAATATAGCAATCCCGCGATAGTTTGTGATATCCGATTTTTTTCCCGTTTTTAAAAATAGGGATTAAAAAAGATTCCTTCCAAATTGGAGGCAGCATACTGGCGTTTAACGATGAATTAAACAACCAAAATAAAGGCTTTACTAATTCATTTGAAAGTGTTTTTAGAAGAATAGGTGGTAAACCATCTGGACCAGCGCCTTTTGACGTATCCAATTACTCAAGAGCATGCAAAATTTCTTTGAGGGATAAATTGTTAACTGTAATATCCGTCATTGGCTCCGGAAGGTATGAAAAATATTCATAATCGCGATCATTCTCGTCATGAGTTGTGTAAATGTTCTGAAAAAAGTCCGCAAATAAATTACTGATCTCACCAGATGTGTTCCCGGTTCTGTTATCTAACTACATTTTAGAAGGAAAGTTCTTCGATTTTTGTCTCTCTTTAACATAGTTAAAAAATGATTTTGGATCTGTTTTAATATTATTTTCTACCTTGGTATTATGTTCTTCATATGCATTTTTCATTTCTTCATTCAGTTGATCGCAGACTTCTAGATAAAATGTAAGATTTTCTTCACTATGATTTCTTTTATAAATCTTATGTGCTTTCTGTTTCCTATTTTTAAGATTGGTAACCTTTTTATTGTACCAAACTGGTATCTTGGACTTTGTGGGTTTCCTCTGCTTCAAGGGTACCGTCGGTTGCAGAATTTTATAAATAATTTGATATGCTTTTTGATGATTTATCTATGATGTGTATTTTATCCCTAGCAGTACTGCGTGCTGTCAACAATGTCAATTGACGTAAAATATTGGTGTATAACTGAATTTCACTTCCGTCACTGATATTCGTGGTAAGCATGATATCAGGCGCTACGGCTTTGACATTACTATCCATATGAATATCACTAGGGAAAAGTTGAAAATCTTACTTTTATCTCAATAAATCACCTTTTTTGAATAACCGCTGCATTGTTTTAATATTACTGATAAGTTTTTTTCGGTACTCGATTAGCAGGCCCATATACATAAGAACAATTTGCGGCAGAACTTTGTGGTCCCTTTACGATATGAATGTCATTTGCCCACTGACATTGAGGCGAATGATATTGATATTCTAACTGTGTGAACTGATACTGACATCAGTGAACTCAATCTTTTTAAAGTATTGATATTGATATTTTGCAACATTGATCCCTAGGGCTTATAAAACGTAACGTGTACTTCACAATTGAACCTTAAAAATCAACTTAAATAAACTAGTGTAATTATGCATTCCGGTGATATCTAGCGATAACTGTAAATTTCAAACCGACACCGGATACATTCATATTCAAACAAGGAGCTCTGCCAGCCTTCTGCCACATTGCTAAATATGCACATATCTCAACCCTGGCTTGAAAGTGACCCCTCTCGAGAAAAGCGTAATTCCATACCAAAACGTCCCCACATATCCCACACCCATAATGCATAGAGTTCGGCTCCATATTCATCAATAGGTGATCGAGCGCCCTCCGGGGAGCGCATACCACCCACTACCGCCCATTCAAATTGCTCCGATCATACCAACAACTGTGTGAAGATCAGGAGATCACTTTCTCCCTCTCTCGCTCTTTCTCGCCATTTTCCCGCTTAGTACATTACTTGGTAGGTAGGTGTATATGGACGATCCATCCCATCAGTAGCAGAGAGGGAGATTCTCCTTTTTGCTCTCATCGCGTCACCATGCATCGCGTACGAACAACAGCATCTTGTCGCCTCTGCTCCCAAGGAACTGATGTTTTTAAAAGGAACATATTCAAATGTTCTGCTCTCAGTAGATTTTTGACCGCACTGCGATGCAGACACCACTGGAAACAGGTCAAAGCGTCTAGTTGGGTGGGACCTCAAGCTCTCCAATCATAACAGTTTGACTATCACCGAAGCTGTGTGTAGAGTGTTAGTAATTTCCTATACTTTTTTGATGATAATTAACACTTGGTGAAGAATCGGAGTGTGCAGCTCTTTCCCATTCGGTGCCATAGCCGATAGTGTATATATGGTGGAAGAGGCAATCACTGTTGCGGTGAAAGTGTGAACAGTGATAGTGATAAACGGGATTCGGCTCATTAGGATTTAGTGGACAGGAATAGCCGCTTCCTAGCGCAGTGAATGAATCAACATCGAAACACAAAGGTTTCCGAGAATAATTTTGGGACACAGAAAGCAGCCAGGTACGAGAAGCAAAGTTCGATTATATTGAGTTATCGCCGACCTCTCTGATACGAGTCAGTGTTAAATGATTGTGTGTTTATTTTGGCGCCAGCAGCTGAGGGACGTTTTCGAATTTTGATTGGCCCGAGGTTACCCTTAGCCTAGTGAGTGAGTGAGAGTGTTGGAAGAAACGCGAAATCACCGGGATAGGGGAACTCCCCTTCTCCCTCCCATCACACCACCAGCCCAGTTCTGGTGCCAGACAGGGTTCCCTTCGGGAAAAAGGAGACCGACAGTACAAAACAAAACGACATAGCAAGAAAATAGAAGAGTGAACCTAGTGCAATCAATTGTGAAGGAAAAACGAAGAATCTTATCACAAAGCTAAAGTGCTGAAAGTGTGAGTGATCTTTAGAAAAGAATAAAAAAGAAAAACACACAACTCTGAACGACATCGAAAGCACCAGCAATGGCAACTCTACTGTATACGATCATTGGCATGACGGCCAGTGCGTCGTTGAACTGTGCTGTCCGGAGGGAGATATCTCCCTGTACCTGTTCGCCGCACGGATTCTTCGCCAACACGATCGAAGTCAAGTGCGAACAGATGGAATCCTTCAATCAGGTGGTGGATGCCCTGCAGGATCGCTTCACGCCTGATTACAACATCTGGCTGACGATATCGCACTCGCAGCTGCTGGACCTGGCTACGCAATCGTTCTATGAGATGAATATGAACATCAAGACGCTCAAGATGAACTTTGATAATTTGAGGTAGGTGGAATAGAGCAAGCAGTCCAAGTAAGAGACCATTTTTGTACGCTCTGATATGGGTGTTTCCTCTGGTTATCGCAGTGGTTGCTACTGACGAGTGAGGCCTGGGCCGTCATAGTCCTATTCCTGCTGATAACTTCGCCGTCGCCGTCGCCGCCGTTGAACACAGCTGATGAGGGGAAGCATTCCTTGTCGCTGTCTTTAACCGTTGGACCATACAGTAAACAGCATTGTGTGGTGATTTTCTTGTTTGTTTGTTATTGCGATCGACGATGAGCTGGAAAATTCCCCATTTCCCCGAAACGTGCAATGTTTTGCATACGCTTGAATTACGTTCGTTTGCGTCAAAAGTGATAACGGGTGTATTCGTGGAAAATGGCACACACATAAACAGCTGCAACGTTTTTAACTATTATACCAAATGACTTGAAATTTTCAGTGAAGAATGCTCAGTCCATAACGTACATATGTAATTTTTATGAGGATCTGAACGGCGGTGTATCTCGAGTAATGGTCATGAGAACAACATTATAATAAATTTTGTTCAGTTGCACAGTTAAATATTGAAAACAAAACTTTTTTTTGAGAAATATTATCATTCAAAATATTATACAGAGGAGAAAAAAAACTCATCATTTGAATCATGACATATTTTTAACTTGTTTATTACTCCTTAAAGCATCATGCTTGAACATTTCTCGGAATTTGGTATACTAGTTAAAAAGTAACAGTTGTTTATGTGTGGGCCATTTTTCACGAATACACCCTTTACTAGCTAAATCTCTTTTTCACAGTTTTAACCGATTTGGACACGACAGGATGAGCAGCTAATCTATTTTGATTTATGGGAAAATGACATCTCTCTGAGACCAAAATTCTTTCTCGGAATCTTGTTAGTCATTATGGTTGGAATTAAATCCTGCTGATAAGATTAAAAAGGTTGTCGTAAACCATAAATCACGCTATTTTGTAAAGACAGGTCATGGTTATATAAATATCGATCATGCTAAATGATACATTTTAGAGTTTTCATGTTAGTCCAACGCTTAAGAATCGAAGGATTCTTTAGGAAAATGGTTCATTTTTAAGTTCTTCATAATTCCAGATCACTTTTAAAAACAGAAACCCGTAAGAGATCAAAGTTTCTTATTTGTAAAAAAAAAAACATTGTTTGAACAGCGAGCATATTCTTTTTAATAAATTCACTTGCCAAGCGGAACACAGAGAATACCCAAATTAACAGATGAGAAATCATGCAAAATTTATGAACTTAACTTCTGAATTTACTAACTTTCTCATTTTAAGCTCAATTGAAGTACAGGCCTTCAGCACACATGATCAGAAATATCTTTTCTGTATGCTTTTGAGTATGGATTCTTGTTTGCTTTACAAAAAAAATTAGGCAAGTCAAGGTGTTTTCTCGCTAAAATAACAGTGAATAACATGACCTAATAATGAGACAAAATGCACCACATTAATGGGGTAATATGACTCTACTTGCCGTTTTATAAATTATGATGACAAATTGAGGCAGAATAACGTCTTCGTTTTTGACAGCCTCCCGTTCCGATCGTAGTCGTTCAAAGGTTCATGACCGCTTAATATACTTCGGAACGTTGCGGAACATTTCAGAAGAGAGAATAGAACATAAACAAAGCTTGTTTACTAAAATGATCATTTGCCCCGAATGTATAAAGGAAATATTTTTGATCATAAAAAAAGAAATAAGTACTAAAACTTACCGGTATTTTATCAGAAAGATGTACACACTTAGAAATATGTAATTACTTTTACAAAAGACGTAATCCATATTGGACGAAAATCATGGAACGTAAATAAACATTTCATGTAAAATTAAGTGTTCTAAAATCAAAAGATAAGCAACTCGACAAAGAAAACGTTTAATTGATTTTCTCGTTTCTTTCAACTGATTTTATGGCAAAAGGGCCGCTTACATGTGTCGGTCTCAGGGAACCGAAATTTACACGAATGTTTCGTAGTGTGCAGTTCAATCAAATGGGTAATATCTTTCATCGACGCTCGGAGATGAACTAGCCATGACTAAAAATCTCCTAAATAAAGTTTTAAAAAAATCATCGGCGCTTATAATGTTTGAAGCTCTACAAAATCTTAGAAAGGCGGAGGACAAAAGTACACTATATTCAATGCAAACTGCTGTTTTTCTTTTATTTACATTATTTGATAACATAGAGCTGCCAAATTGATACGGTGTCCAAAGCAAACATAGATTTAACTTGTATGGTAACTATTTTGATGTAAACATGTATTCTCGGCTTAAAACTAAGGAAGTGCATCTTGTCCCAACGCTGCAAATTACCCCAGGTACCTATTTATGTTAATGTTAGCTAAATCCTTAAAATGTTATCTTATTCATACGTAATGAGAAAGTGCAATTTACATACAAAATTGCAAATCTAAGCAGAATAAACAAAATAATTTATTTTTTTTATTTAGAAACTTTTTAAGTGATGGTTTTAGGCAGATTTACGCATTTTCTGACAAGTGACTATGAGTTTTAAGAAAAGAAAAACAGCTTTGATTTCACAATTTTCCTAGAGGCTAAAAGCAATCAAAAAAATAAAATTTGGATAAGACTCGATTTTAGAATCGAAAACAGAACAAAATATTGATATGTGATGGTCTATATAAATAAAAGCTACCATCATTATTGAATAGTTTTTGTTCGAAAAAATATTGACGAAATTAGAGTCAAAATTATTATTTCATGACATGCTGCAAGCTCCGTAGCATTTATTCATTAGGGACATTTGCTGAAAAACTCAAGCAAATTTCTATTCCCATTGAATTGAGAACTGTTCATAAACTACATAGGTAGCTTTTGAGAGGCTTTAAACCTCTTTTCCCCCACGTAGACAATGGTCCATACATTTTTTGAAAATTGTGTGTAGAAATGACTGAAACTACTGTATGAATAACTATGAAACTTGCCAGGTGTAAACAATACATTCTGAATATGATTTACTCAAATTTTCACTCAAATTCTTACGGTTCAAAAGTTACAAATTTTCGGTTTGCCATTTTTATCGAATACACCCTTTATTATGAAAATATGGGTATCATGATAGCGTAGAAATAAGAAATCTTGTTAATATACATTGAATGACGGCTCCACAAAGCTCACACAACAGAGCCTTGCAAATTAATGGATTAAATTAATAGTAATATTAATAATAATAATAATACGGGAAATGGCTTCATGTTAGCCCATGTAAAAAATCTACTCTTCTAAATTTTGTTGTTAGAACAATGCGTCATAAGGACAATACACATGGATATTTTTGGTTGCTAGTGAACATTGTCAAAAAATGCATCGAAATGTATGTATGGGCCAAGGGGTAGGTCACTCCACACACCAATTTTGGGTCAACATTTTTCTCAGTGTGCCGCAAGTGTATCGCTGCTTTGCCGATTGTGCCGGCAGTGCTGGGCATAGAGCAAGCTGTGATTTTTCAAAAATAGGATAATATATTTGGCAACCCAGTATTTCTGACAGCTTGAATGTTTAGGTTTGCAATCGCAACGGCCTCAAAAATATCGTGCTCGATAAGGATTTCTTTTACCGACGAATAAAAAACCTCTACGCCAGCTGGAAGGAACCAGAGTTTTCCCATGATGATTCGCTGCAGAAGGTGGATTGCATTCTGACGGTGGTCGGCGTAGACGAGGAAACCATCTACAGCAAACCAACCTCGTTGAAGACCTGGCTGCTGGGATACGAGCTGATCGATACGATTACGGTGCTGTGCAAAAAGTCAATCTTTTTCTTACCAGCAAGAAGAAGGTCAATTTCCTGAAGCACATCGCGAAGGACGGTGAGGAGGGCATTCCGCCGGTGATGCTGTTGGTTCGGGAAAAGAACGGCAAATACAAGGCCAATTTTGAAAAGTTGCTGGAGGCGGTATCCAAGGATGGCAAAACGTTGGGCGTCTTCTCCAAGGAAAACTTTCCGGGTCAATCCGACGGAAATGATTCAGAAGCACTACACCTTACTGCTCAATCTAGAAGAGGAACTGCTGAAGGTGATGATTCCGGGCAAGAAGCTATCGGAGATTTTCGGTGTCAGAATGGTCAATAAGAAGGATATCAAACTAAGACGCTTGGATTTACTATCGGGTTGGAGTTCCGGGACAATTCGATCGTAGTACCTGAACAAGTGAAATTCAGTTTAAAAACTGTAAGTTGCAGCAATATACATTCCGCGTGATTGTGACGCGGAAATTAGTTCGGTATTGTTCAAATGAGTTTGGTTTGGTAGCCGACCAATTGACCGACTACTTTTCACGGCACAACCGCACGGAATTTTATTCCTTCCACTCAACCTAATTAACTTTTATTTTTATTAAAACAAATCGAAAACCATTTATTTCATCTCGTATGAGATGACACGTATCCAAAAATATAACTACTCAAATTTAAACCGAAATCTCTCTTCAAATTTACATACGTCGCATCGGTGGTAAGGCCACAGTTGTTACTCTTCACCACCACCAAAGCATATCCATCGTTGCCCCAGTAGTTGGACCAGGAATTCTTGATTAGTCAGGAATCTTTTCCTTTGAGTTTTCCGTATCCCATCGCCACCATGATTCAATCCATCCAAATTGCTCTTGCATTCCGGTTCGTAGTACACTCCATTTGCGTAGTAGCTGGAAGACTTGTGACCGGCATCGATAGCAATCGACAGCCCTCGGAAAAATACATTTCAAATTTAAATGTGAACCGAGAAGTGAATTGCTGGTCTGAGTTCCTCTAGAATATTCAATTATTTAGAGTACGTTTCTGAAATACACAGCCAAACAGCACGTATGTTGTGAACAACTTCAATGACAGCTGTCCAGCAGTGCTCCCATTTTATTTAATGAACAATCCAATGCCTACGAGATTGTGCAGAAAGTGTGCCAATGTGTTGCCCAAGCTGTGCCGAATCTACTTTCGGCACACTGTGCTGAGTGACTTAC